GTCTGACTATGTTGGCAGGTCTTAATAAGGGCTTCCGTCTAGCTGCTCTGCAAGGATAACCCAATCTTTGGAGAATCCATTGAACAGATTTTGGGCTCATCCCACCAACTTTGGCCACTTCTGCAGTCGGTAATCTGGGATCCATTTCGATGCTCCTCTTGACAGCCCTTTTTGTCCTCTCCAATGGACCAGGATGACCCGGACGCTGCTCAGTTGTTTCCTTGCCGTGCTTCCTGAACTGCACGATGATTCTGTTGACTGTCGAAAGTGGGATTCCCAGATTCTGCGAAATTTGCTGCTGACTTATTCCACCATCTACTTGACCAACTATCCTTCCTCTAACAAAATCTGACAATTCAAGATAACCTTGAGTTCTAGGTATGTTGTAGCACAAGATAATTAGTATACGGACCATTTTCATTTATATAGTGCTCTGTGAACACAAATTAGTTAGCATAAATTAGTTAAATGACGAAAAATTAGGTGTCTATTTACTTGTGACCACTCAGTGTACATACATAAAGTAAGTTATTTTAATGTAAAGTGTGAGTTGTTGGAAATGAACATTGATACATGTTATTTTTGTATAAATTTTTGTTCTTAAGAGGAAAATAACCTATCACACTGAAAGACTTATTAAAGGCTTTATAAAGTCACAGAGAAATGTTTGGGTAGAAATAATTTATTTAAAAAAGTTTGAATTTTTTTGCATTGCTTACTAAAAATCTTGCCAAATTTTGTGAACACACTGGACAAATTATTTTGGATTACTTGGTAAAAATAATGCAAAATTCCCCAGAAAATTATTTTTTAAAAGTACTCTCCTTTAAATATTTGTGAACTGAATGACATTATTCAACCTTAATTGTTGTATAATCTTAATCTAAGTACTAAAACTTTGATATGAAGTGTTAATTTTAAATGTAGCATGGTGTTAACCATCTACATACAGCTCAATCAATTTTGATTCACTATGAAACGACCTGTAAACTGTAAACTTTTACATCCTTTAACTGAATATGATATATGTAGTTGTATATTATATTTTCAATGTTATAATTTGTTTGTTTGCTAGAAGGAGCTATTATTTGTGATGATGGCTAGAGATTACTTTATATATATGAGTTAGTAATATTAATGACTATATGGTGAGTTTATGAGTTCAGTGACAGAAAAATTGTTCAACATTAGAAGTGGGATTTATTGTATGTAATGACATAGTATGAAACATCCAAAACTGTTTTATGAAATCAGTCATTCACATTTTATATTTCAAACTGTTTTGATCATGAAATTATTATGCTACATTTCAGTCTTTGACTAAATTATAAATTTGACATCATCAATTTGATCCAGTTAAAAGTTATCTCATGGAAACCAAGGCTCTGTATCCTCATATTATCTGCAGCCATCTAGTTCCTCCAGTTCTCCTAGGTAGTGTTACTGCTTCCCCAACTCCCATGGCTATGAATTTGAATCCACTCCTGTTTTTTGGACTGTTCTTGTGGAACTGGTAGATGTTATGGAGGAATGATCTTTGTGTGGAATATCTTTGTATGCAAGTTGAAGATGATTAGCAGTGCAGTGTATGGCCAACAGAGATGAACTGATTTATTTCAGGTTTACAGCTACTTCTTGATACCTCCCCAGCATGACTGCTGCCCCGTCTGATCCAAATTCCATGAGTTTCTCTGAAGATAGGTCTGGTCAATGCCAAGCCTCTCATCAAGGCTGTGAAGAATTGCCACTGTGATTGGTTCCCCATTGGCAGTTGCAACATTTGTCACAGCAACAAGGTCAGTAGCCACTGTCCTATTGATGACGTACCGAACATACACCATCTCTTCCTCTGTCACGGATGTATTTGTTGAACCATCGCTGATCAAAGAGATGAACTTTGTTTCCCTTGTTCTTTTTTCCATTTCAATTCTTTCTATCTAAAGACATGTAATCAACACCTAAAAGAAATAAAGTTAGAACTTTAGCTTGCACACCGAAAAGTAAAGAAATAAAATTAAGGTTTAACACACTAGATTTCTGTGCTTATGATTTTTCTTCTAATGTGTTTTTACATAATATATTTTCATTTCACTGATGCAACAGTTATCTTTTCAGAGGCAGATCAGTATATGGAAGTGACATACCCATCTGGCAGTGGAATTTGAATGAATATTAACAAGGGACAGGCAAAAATTAAAACATTTTTAAAAAAATCTTTTGAGAAAGCAGGGTGATGGCGTAAAGTTGTACTTCATTATACTTCAGTTAAATAAGACCAATCTGAATACTGTTACGACTAAATATAAACAAGTAAGGCCAATCTGAATACCGTTACGATTAAATATAAACAAGTAAGGCCAATCTGAATACCGTTACGACTAGATATAAACAAGTAAGGCCAATCTGAATACCGTTACGATTAAATATAAACAAGTAAGGCCAATCTGAATACCGTTACGATTAAATATAAACAAGTAAGGCCAATCTGAATACCGTTACGACTAGATATAAACAAGTAAGGCCAATCTGAATACCGTTTCGACTAAATATAAACAAGTAAGGCCAATCTGAATACCGTTTCAACTAAATATAAACAAGTAAGGCCAATCTGAATACCATTTCGACAAAATATAAACATATAAGGCCGATCTGAATACCATTACGACTAAATATAAACATATAAGGCCGATCTGAATACCATTACAACTCCAGCAGAATAAATCATAAACATTGTGTGTTTCATCTCACAACCCTAAATATTTTTTGTTGTTTATTTAAATATAAACGCATTAGCATATGGTATGTACAGTAGAAAAAAAAAAATAGTGTCTCATGCGTGTAGGCTACATCTACTTATTCAGCTAGCCAGTCTGAATAGAAGTATTGCCTACCTGAATAAGTACATCTGGACTTGAAAATAATCTTAGTCTACATTCCAGACCATGTTTATAAAAAAAAAACAGTTGAGCTAGAGTCAGCATTTTGTAAGGCTGTTTTCAAATGTGTTTTAATACATTATTTGGAAATTACATCTTCATACAGTAAGTAGTTTGTTGTGAGATCGATTGCTCACTTGAATCGTGCACAGAATGTAGACAATAGAACACACTGTGCTTGTTGACGTAAAGTTCTCTGGATTGGTCAATCACGGAAATGAGTCCTTCCTTCCGATAGGTAATATGTCACAATCTCATTTCGATACACACGTTCATCGAAAATACCCACACTAAATCTGTTTTTTGTGTTTCCAAACAATGTGTTGAGATTTGATTTGAATCCATAGTCATGATGAATATTAACCTCATGAATTCAAAGTAGAATGCACAAATAAATTTCTCATTATCTTGCAAGCTCAACTCTCAACAGCATGGTCCCTTCATCCTAATCAGCTGATTTACTAGTCGAGATCTGTTTGGTAGATTCTCAACTTTGTTCATGACCTCTTACAAGTTACATGCATAACTTAGTCTATGTCCACATATGGTATAGATTTAGGTATATTGAGAACTATACTCTAGATCTTAGTCTAGCTGCTGTTTTGACCATAAATTACATAGATAAAGGATTTATGAACAACTTGTAACCTCCATGCTTCAATTCAGTCAAATTAAAACCTGAACTTGGGAAAAAAAAATGCTAATAAACACTGACTTGACACCATTTTTTCTGATTATAAATAGCAAATTTCAGTGTCATTCCTGAAATTATTGTATATATATTTTTTAGTATATAAGCCCAGCAAATAAAAGAAGATATAGATATGCAGATAGATTGAAGATATAGATAATTGAGTCAAGCGAACAGTAGGCACCACAAGTAAAGTGTGTGAATCGCTGTGATTTATAGTACGTGTTATTGAGATTGCAAATGTATTGGCTGTAGATTTTCTGTGTATTACAAAGTTGTATTGAGAAAGAATAAAGTAGTTTTAATTAAAAAAAGACTTGTATCACTGAAATTCCTCGGAAAGAATTTATACCGGAAGTTAACAAACAAGCAGATACGTAACAATATATATATATAAATTTCTCATTATCTTGCAAGCTCAACTCTCAACAGCATGGCTATCTACTATCTAGCGAAACCACAGCCAAGGGAACGGGCTTGTAAAAATCCGCTGTCGCCAAAAGATATTCAGTCAAAGCTGCAGAGAATACAGCATATAGTTTTCTCTGACATTCAATACTATATTATTTATAACCAATAGGACGCCAAGGTATTCGTCTATTAAATGATGCATTTTATTACTTTGTTTTCTAAACAGAAAAATTCAGTACAAGCTTCATTACTACAGGAAACATAATGACTAGCTTCTTGGATGAATTTGTAATGGCTCTTGTCACATAGTTAGAAAGCCATAAACAATTGTGATAGTTACAGGACATTTTCTATTTTTTGCATCGTTATCGTTCTATTTATTTTTTTGTGCATTATTTAATTAACACTCTCGACACTGTTAAGTCAAATTGACCAACCATGTGACCACTTTGTACTTGTTATAGTTTCGATACTACTAACTTTTAATCTAGTACATAAAGATTTGTCCATATGTATAGCAAGTCTTTTATGATTCTAAATACAAAGTGATTTTCATGTTAAGATTAAAAAATACTTCATCTCAAAAATCTCAAATGTCATTTGCATAATCTCTAAAACCTCCTAAATGCAGTAAAAATTCATATTTTATCTTTTATTTTCTCTACCCTAACTATATACAAACATTACAAGGTTGGTCAATTTGACCAACTTTTTAACCACCAAAAACAAAAATCGAAATAAATCTAAATTACTATTTCATCTTTCTAGAATGACTTCAAATTGTAACAGGTAACTACATTCATTTATCCTAAGTGGTTTTAAACTCGTAACAGTATACTTTTATTTAGATTTAAATTTTATTGTTTTATTGCCCTTTGAACCATGTCTAACTACTATTCATGCCATTGTAAGTTGTAAATCACTTGGGGAACTTCAGCTCATGTTATGCATTCAAATTATATTACCATAGAATGCTCATGTGCATGCCTTGTGGACAACTTTTTGTTATAATATTATTATTTATTTTACCTAATCTAACCTGAATTAACTAGAGTTTCGTAATTTTACGTTTTAGTTACTTTTATAGTAATAAATAACGAATACACACGAGCCTTTTTTTTTGTTGTTGACTGTCAATGACACTTAACCTTACTTTTTGTATACTAATGATAGTAGTGCACTAAATAAATAAATTTTTATTTAAATGAAGATAATTAAGATGTTGATGATCCAAAGAAGAATGCAACCAAAAAAAGGCAATGGGACCATGAGTATGAAAAGGAAAAAGTATATACAGGGGTGAATGGGATAATAACTGGTTACACTATGACGAAGATGGTGGCATAACATTCTGTAATGTATGTCAAGAAGAGAACGTGAATCTGATAACTGTTAGTAGAATATTAACAATGAAGAAAATGTGAATCTAAAAATGCTATTAGTGATCTATTAGCATGAACAGCCCATGATTATTCTGAGCACATGTGTTTCACACCAAATTGAAATCTGTTGCCATATCAATTAATACACCATTCACCAGCAGACCAACAATATTTTTCAGAATATCACCTCGTGATTGGGCAATTATAGCTGAGTATCTAGCCCTCTTTGTTGAGCAAGCATTTAACGTAACTCGGATTGGGCCATAGCACAAAATTTATGGAAATTCCATTATTTTGGAGTTTATAATTTTTTTAATGAAAACATATCTCTTAAAACATAAACCAAAAAAAAATATATATATATGTATCAGAAAAGGCCAGAAATGCCTGAAAAGCATCTGATTTTTTGTCACCGAAAAAAAACAATACTCTTACTGGAAATAATAGATCTCATCTTTGGATTTTACTGTCATTTTTTTCCATTATGCAATTTATGTTTTTTATAACTGCTTGCTTAATGTAAATGTTAAATTTTTACACAGAAAAAATGACTGGCAAACATACTAGTACAATTATCACAAGGCCATGCCAGGCCCAAGATTAGACTCCAACTTTTATGCATGGAACTCCTGCTTTGGATAAAGCACTTCTAATGCATTCTAGCACATTGGCCAGTAACATTTCTTTCCATCAATATATTTCTTTCACAATTATTTTTTAGAATGTTTTCCAGGTGCTCAGTGTAGAAAATGATAACATTTTTACATGTCAATTTCACAAGCTATGGAGCCCTGAACAGCCTAGTTTTTAAACAAGGCTCATCACAGCCATGGGTTCCCATATTGCAATATCCCAACAGATTGGTGAGCAGCTTTGTTTGCAGCTTCAACACTCAATAGTGTGAGTTCTTTTGGATAGCTAAATCAAATTGGTGGGTACTTTAGTCATGACAGGCAAAGGATATGAACTGCCTAGAACATGTCACCTTGAACACATTGCTTGACCTGTATACACAATATATACATATCAAGTATATGTACATACTGATTGTTAGGCATGATATACATACTGTATACATTGTACACCAGCACATCTAGCACATACGTCTTCAAGCTAAACATTCGTTGCAAAGGCATTCATAGTGACAACTTTTGTGAATTGTACATTAATGAAGAGTGTTTGTAAATTTGGCTTGTCATAAGTTTTGCTTGGTTAAGAAGTGTTTAGATCAGTTTATGTGGAGTCAAACTTTTAATGGCTCTTTTGATTTTAAGGAGCCACATGGGCTACCTAGTAGACACTTTTGACAGGCTTGCCGGCATTTTTGGGGGCCGTTGGCCCCTGGGCTCCTACTAATTTCGAGCCCTGGATAACTTATGCTGCACATCTACCAAGTAATTTACAATGTATAATCACACAACTATTAGTTGACAAGGTTCAAAGGAAAATATAACAGTAAAATTTAAGTACAAAGAAATGTATACTGTTACAAGTTTAAAGCTATTTAGAATAAACAAATATTGGACCTTTTGTGTACAGAAGATGTGTTATATTTCCTAAAAGTCTGCGAAATTTTGTGAAGATGTACGTACTGTATTAAAAGTTATAGTATGG